GATAGCCGGGCACCATCAGCTTTCTTCGCCACATTTGCTTCTGCACCCATTTGTCTTCAATGATCCGTTCGACACCCCGTGATCACACAGGCTGATATGTTGTTCTATGTGGGCTTTGTTGATTATCTTCAAGTCTTTAAGACCCCAGACGCTATGTCTTTTGATAGCTGGGGACCATCAGCTTTCTTCACCACATTTGCATATGCACCTGCTTTGTCTTTAGCGATCGTGTCAGGTAAGTTAGCATCATGGAACGCCAGTTGAGTTGAGGGAATACTTGAATGGAGGCCCAATGTCCATCTGCTACCTTAATACTAAATCTATAAATATATGCATATAGATCTATTTCCCCATCATATATAAATATATTTACATATGTACATGCCTGTATTTAGACCTCTAAAAATGCCTTTTGCCTCCTAGTTCTTTCCTCTATTTCCTTTTACTTTCCTCCTGCCTCAGTATCATATTCAGCCTTCATTTGGGTTTCAGTCATTCCTCTCAGTTACACTGACCTTGATCAAGCCCTGTCAGGCCTCCTACACCTTCCTCGCCTTGGATTTTGGATCACTTGTTCCCTTGTCCCTGGGTTTGTTAACAACACCCACTTCCTTTTCCCCGCCTCCCCCTCTCCCATGACCTCCTGGAACTGTTGGTCTGTTGTTTTCTCCTCCAGATTGTTTATTCCACCCAGCTTATCTAGATTGACCTGCAGAGATAATATGCACAAAAAAGAAGACAGCAAAACAAAGCAACAAAAGAAAACAACAAAAAAACCAATGACAAAAAAAGAGAAAAGCCTGTAAATAGTTCAAGGTCTGTTTGTTAACCTTTAGGAGTGTTTTCTGGTTGAGTGATGGGGTGCCATGCCCTGGTCCAAAAGTCTATTTTTTGGTATTCCCTGGGGACTTCATTGCTCTGCTCCCCTTGCTTTTCTCACACACCCGGAGTGTTTTGCCTTGGTGTGGTGGGGTCAGATGGGGCACCATTCCTATACTGTGTCTCCAGTGTTGTCCCTCATAGGGCCATGGGTCAGTGAGGTTTGTCATGTCTCATAGTGGGGCTGGCTATATGGCCCTCTCTGTGCATTGGCTGCTCTGAGCAGGCATGTCCTTAAGGCTTGGTGGGCCAGGATGTGCTCTGCTCTCTCTTCCTCCCCCCTTCATTGGCTCTTGTGTGCTCTGATCAGACCTGACCCTCTCTCTGAGCTGTAGCTTCAGTGCTGTCCTCTGACATAAATTCTTGTGGGGGGAGGGCCGGCTGTCCACATAGTTGGGGTTGGGGCTGGCCCCTTAGACCTCTCCACTGGTTCCCTGCTTCATGCCAGTATGTTACATTCACATCTTGGAGCACCGGGTTGAAGTCTGGTCCCTCTTTCCCTCTGGAGATATAAACAATTTCTTCTCCTTGGGTGGGTTAGTGCCCTGTCCCCCGCTACCCATTTTTTTTTCACTTTAAATATCTTTATTTCTGCTTTTTACCACTGCTTATCATAACTGCAATCACTTTGCTCAGTACAACCACTGTTCCTTTATTCTTTTTTAATTAGATAGATTTTAAAAATCGTTTTATTAGGGGCTCATACAATTTTTTTTATTGTTTTATTAGGGGCTCATACAACTCTTAGCACAATCCATACATACATCAATTGTGTAAAGCACATTGTACATTCATTGCCCTCATCATTCTCAAAACATTTGCTCTCCACCTAAGCCCCTGGCATCAGGTCCTCCTTTTTCCCTCCCTCCCCATTCCCTCCTCCCTTACGAGCCCTTAATAATTTATAAACTATTATTCTGTCATATCTTGCCCTATCCGACGTCTCCCTTCACCCACTTTTCTGTTGTCCATCCCCCAGAAAGTAGATCACATGTAGGTCCTTGTAATCTGTTCCCCCTTTCCAACCCACTAATTAGATAGATTTTTAAGTTGAGGTAAAATTTTATACAACCTAAAATTATCTTTCAGCCATTGTAAAGTATAGAATTCTGTGGTTTTTAGTCAATTCACTTGGGTAAGTGTGACGCGGAACTGGCCTCTGACTCTGACAACACAAGAGGGAAGAAGACTCACAGTCTCCATCAGTCTAAGTCTAACTTCGATGAGGCAGATGTCAGGCATGTCTCCACCTTCCAACCTTATTTACCAATTCTGACACCAACCATCACTCCCCAAAACACTGCTTCCCTACTTTATCAAATAACCATAGTAATGGCCACACAGAACTGACAGACCATACTCATGATTATGAGGTTTATTAGGGAAGTTAACATGTTAAAATTCAAGATCGGAAATACTGAAGATACAAGTAATCAGGAAAAGCATCTCTTCTCAGCTATGCCTGCCGGCATGTCTGCCTCATCCTCATGGACCCATAGTGTCTGCCCTGCTTGGACAAGTGGGACAAAGCTCCTTTAGTGATGCCACTAAATGCCCAGAGGCACTCCACTCCACCAAAAGTCTCAGCCCAAAGGCACTCTAGCTCCAGGGATCAGCAAGCCTAGCTCCTGTAATTAAGTACCTGGAGACACCCAACTCCACAAGCAAGCCTCCTCCTTGAAGGTACTCAGCATAACTTGCTCTTTGGGCCAGGAAGGCCACAACTCTGTCGTGTGCTCTAGCACTACATTCTGCTGTTGCCACTTCTCTGCAATGCCTCTGATTTCACACTGGATTGAGGAAGTTTAGTATGCAGGGATTTAGGGGTCTACATGAGGTGCTCCACTCCTGGCTCATCATTCTTGATCGTAGTGAAGTTTCCCATTACTGCTTCTGAGCGGGCTAATTTTATACCCAGTAGAATTGCAAAAGAAACCACCCACCACATTAGAATTCCCAGTCGTTATAATCACAATTAACCCTGTTATTCACAATTTAATTGTATTAGCATTTTCCCACCACCTCTTAACCAGACCCAATAATTAAAAAAGAGGTAATAGACCCATTTTACATGGTCTCATCCAGTCATTTGGTAGGAGTTAAACTGTGGCTAGAAGACCCACATTAAGTAAAGCATTGCCTATAGTGGCATGCAAACAAAATCAAATTTCAGAACATTTTCATCCTCCCACCCCAAAGAAATATGCATTAGCAATTACCTCCCACTTGTTTCTTTGGACTGAACATGAATTATCCATTGACATATATATTAAAATTTATTCTGAAATGTTCATTGCATAATTTGAAAATTAGATCATCAAAATGTTTATGAAAATGCTATGAAGTCTTACACTTTTTACACTAAATTGCTCTCAAACTGTCCATATATGTGCCTTTTCAATTTTTCTTTTTACTCTTCTCAAGCGTGTTGTGGCTTTACTGTATCCAACGTGCAGTCCCTGTAAATGTTACACAGTCTTCCATACCCAAAAGGAAAATCTGATGCCATCTAATCAATTCTATCACAAGGTGACCCTATAGAACAGAGAAGAACTATCCCTTTGAGTTTCAAAACCTTTAAATCTTTTAAAGGCTGCAGAGTGACTGACCTTATGACTGGCAGCTCAATGTGTAACCAACTAGCCACCATATACTGCTTCCTTTGGAATTCCTAATACCTAATTCTCTTTCAAATATTTCTTACCTTTTTTTACTTATCCTGTAATTTGGGAGTCTGAATTCTCAGTTAAAAGTAGGATGAAAAATTAATAAATCAATGTAAGTTGAAAATATAGTAGAACACCATATCTGAAAAACTAGAGCTGATGCAGTCTATCTGAGTCAGTGCCCCAAATAACTCCAGGAACAGGCCTGACAACCAAGACAATACATTTATTTGTTGTTGGGCTGTGTTATTACTCTTATCCTAGTGCTTTGAATGGAGCCCTGGTGGTGTAGTAGTTACTCCATGACCTGCAAACCATAAGGACAGCAGTCCCAAACCATTAGCTGCTTCACCAGAGAAAGATAGGGTTCTCTACTTCTGTAAAAAAAAGTTTGAATTTTGGAAACTCACAGCAGTAGTTCTACCCTGTGCAACATGGTCACCATAAGTCAATCAACTTAATAGCAGTGAACTTGTTTTGTTTTG